GCTACAGCGCTTTCCTGCCCAGAGGAGAAATGTGCCAGCCGGCAAACGGCACTGCCAGGCTACCTGCTTTCATGGTCAGTGTTACTCTGTGGAAAACCTTCCTTTCTTCTTCTCCTTTTTCTTTCTTCTTCTCCTTTTTCTTTCTTTCTTTTTTTCCTCCTTCAGTTTTCTTGTTAGCCAGGGCATCTACAGAAGAACCTGCCTGGTTCCAGAGAGGGAACCTGCACCTCTTCTTTCCACCCCTCACAGCCACACCAGGAGCCACAGGGGTGACCACGTCCAGGGGCAGTAGCAGGGTGGTACGGCTTGGCGGCTGTAGTGCAGGGCGCTCTCTCTGCTGACAAAGGCTTCCTGTTGAGAACTACACTTTGCTGAAAACAAAAACTACTCAACATCAGAGAGTTTCCCCACAACAGCACGCTCCAGTCACACTATAAACAAGGTGCCCTGAAGTACAAAGGTTTTATTGCAATGCTTTGTTATTTCCGGTACCATTGCCTTTTTCCCTGGGTGCTACCAAAGTGCAAGCCATTTGGAACAGCAAAGCCAGGTGATGGTACAGCAAAACATGATGGTGCCTTACACTCGCACTGTCCTGCCTCTTCCCTGGCACTGACCACAGAGAAGGTTGCTGCTCTCCCCAGTCGCCTGGAACAACCTGGTAGCGTGAAACTTTGGTCCCAAAGGATTGTCAGTCGCTGGTCTGTTCGAGCAGGAATCGGCATTCTTCCAAGCTGGACTTTACTTGGAGTTCAGGGATTCTGACTGTGTAAAAAGAGACACCTTTGTACACAGCACCGTTAAGCTCCTCTTTCAATTTCTGATGTACATACTGGTTTATTGCCAATTCTTCTTGCCGTGATTCTCTTTGGCTTATTTAAGCTTTAAGCCATCTGTTTTGAGGCTGGACCTTCCTGACTTAGATCTCTCTTAAAAGAATCTGTATCTTTAGAATTACCTGCTGCTGCACAGATGCTGAAACTGGACAAGTCTAGATGTAGAGTTGTGTTTAAAGGTCTTTACAGAATATCGCAACTTTTATTGTGTGTTTCCATTGCATGTAAAAATGGTGATTCAGACACCACAGAAACCTACATTTTCGCGCACTTTCATCTCAACGTAGGGCAAGTTATGCTGGTTGCTTGAAGAATAACCTCTCGACAGAAACTTGCCCTCTGACAGGGGTGGGGGTAGTTGCTACAAATTTAGGACTTGAGAATTCCAGAATTCCAGTGGCTCAACTCCGCTCAAGAACCTTTTTGGCTTTCTAACAAGTGTATTTAGCTTGATAAAGCACTTGGAAAGGCAGGTTTCACACTCAGTACCTGCAGTTTCCACTACTGCCAGCAGTCCCTTGGGAGGTGGGCAGTGAACTTCTCTGCTCCACTTACCTTAGCGTGGAACAGGGATGTCATTGCCTTCTAAAACTTGAGACGCGTTGTATTACAAAGCTCTTGTACAATTAGGAAATGTTTAAGACTACATTCTGGAAAACAAGTTACATTAAACGGCACGCGAGTCGTCCAGAAAACACAGAGCAGAGCTGTTGGATAATTGAAAACTGCTGCTTGTTCTCCTCACCCCATGCCTGGTTTACAGTTCAGTAATGAGCCCTGCAATAGCTGCCTCAACTGATTCTGAAATTACAGACTCTCAAAAATGGGATGACTACAGCTCTTGGCAGGTTTTCTCCCGTGACTCCACTTTTATTCTATGTTTTCACAGGCTTCTCTGCATCACTCCTGATAGAAAGCCACCAAAAGCTTTGCGGTTGCAGAAAGCAGTAACATTTTCACAAAGAAAATGCATTGGGTTTATTAATTAACCTGCCGTAACAAAACACAGTGTTTGAAAGCTCTGCAGTGCCTCCCTCCTGGCATTCCTCTGGGACTGGGAGGAGGCGGCAGAGCTCACATGCAGTCAACAACGTTGCTGGATCCTTGGCCCATGTCCCGGATCTGGCTGCTGAGACAGGCGCACACAGCGACGCCTGCCCCTGCTCTGCAGTGCGACACAGAGCCCACGAGTTCCCACCTAAGGAAGATGGCAGAGGAAAAGAACAAAAATAAGCTCCTGTCCTTTTTCAGCAGCTTGGAAGTATTTCTTCTCTGTGTCTGGAATTCTGCTACACAGCTTAGCTCTTTCCTGAGCTCAAAAACCCACCCCACTAAGTTTTTTTCCTTATTATGCCTCTGGTACGCTTAGTGCAAAATCAGGCTGAAGCAGCCAGAGGAATGCAGATTCTTCCTGAAGGCAGGGAAGAGGACAAGGGATGGAGAGGAGGAGGACTTGCTGAGGTATTTACAAGAACCTATTGGTATAAGCAGCCCTTCTGATGCTAGTCATGAATATTACTCAGCTGGTACCAGGAAATATCAGAGAGACTCCTGCCACACACTATTTCTGTAATGTTGTGTTTTCATGTAGGTAGATTTCATTGTCTTACTAAGTCAAATAAAAAAAATAAATCACCTATTCACTATGGGATCAAATGCTTCCACAGTATTCAGGTACGCATTGCCATTATGACCTCCAACTGCAAAAATTTTTCCCATCAGTGTCGCTATCCCAACGCCACCCCTCGGAGTTGTAAGCTCTGCTACGTACTCCCACTTGTTACTGCGTGGGTCGAACCGCTCCACCGAGCTCAGTGGAGAGTTGTCATCAAAGCCACCTGCAAAGGAAGTGTCACATTATCAGCTTTGAGCCATTTCTGGTGATGTCCATGACTGGCATTATCAGGCTCTTCTCAGGATTCAGCTCTTTCTTTCCATGAAGATTACAAGCTCCTAAAAATTAATGTAATGGCTCTCCCTCTTGTCACTCTCCAGGCATCACCAAGAGTGGCAGTTTTCTTCTAGTCAAGCTGCAAGCAGAGGTATTTCTGTTTGTTGTTTTGTTTTTTTCTCCTTGAATTCATCTTACGTATAGTTATAATGCAACAGCTTCTAACTTGGAATAGAAAAAAACTAAGGCCAGGTAAAGGATGGTCCTGATTTTATTCTGGCTTAAGCAAAACACATTCTTGTGGTGTTTTCAAATCACAGCATTGCTGAATACTTGAGGACATACTGTCCTAAGCAGTATAGCCCGCCTGAAATGTGAGTTAGGAAATGCTTCTATTTCCTTGCTAAAACACCTTCATTTAAGTGTGCCCTGCCTGTGCTTGCTTTCTTCTTCTGCCTAAGAACACAAACTACAGGTCAGGTCTGTCTGTTCCCCACTTCCTCTAGCAACAACAGCCTCTTCCAAATGCCAGTCCTTGGCAGAAACAGCGCTACAAAATGCCACATTCCTACTCACCAACAACATACAAGCAGCCATGGAGCTCGCTGACCCCATTGCCAGCTCTTCGCTGACCCATCTCTTTCACTTCTATCCACTTATCCAAATGGGGATCGTATTTCTCCACACTGGAAAGAGATGCTACACCGTCATTGCCACCCACAGCGTAAACGTGGTTCTGGAAAACAGTTGCACAGAGAAAGATTATTTGCAATGCGTACATTTTTACTCAGCTTTTCATAAGCAATGTTGAAATTATAGAACATGGTATATATGTACAGTCCTATTTACTTTTATTTAGGAATTCCAACAACAGACTTAATTAACAACTCGTAGGTGCTACTTTCCAATTAAAGAAATGAGAAAGTTATGCAGAGTTGTAGGTATTTTGTAGAGCGTACATGCCGCCAGGGGCATTAAAGCGCAGCTGCATTCAGTATCTTTAAACACAGTGACAAACCAGAGCCTTCTGAATGGGACATGTAATGTCAGAACGGTCCTGAAACGTGCTCCCAGTACCTCAAATACTGTTGAAACAGCGAGCACAGTCCAATTTGATACAATTATTATCCTAAATATCCTCACCTTTTGCCCAGTTCCACAGGAAACGGTCACTTACCACAAGGGCTACGGAGCCGACTCCTCCCCTGGGAGTGTTCATAGGGGCGACCGCACTCCAGCGATCAGAATCGATGTCGTATCTTTCCACATCGCTGAAGCAAGTGTTGTCATCTAAACCTCCGATTGCATAAACAGGGCCACCGAGGGAGGCGAGAGCAATTCCTCTCCTAAGAAAACCACAGGGTCAATACCTCACTGCAAATCCTTAAGGAGAGGCAACAGGAAAGACACATCAAGAGCAATGTTACCTGACCGGCACCTGTTTTAACCTATGGGGGAAAAAGTAACAAATATACAGAAAGTGAAGCTTATAAAAAAAAAAGTCCAGTAACTGTGGCTGGCCCTCTGTGCACATCTGTGCCAGCTGTGCAGTTTTATCCTTATTTATGTTTGCAGGGCTCTGTAGAGCTCTCTATATTAGAGGGGCTCTACAGTTTGATCGTAACTTCACCTCAGCTATCCCAGGCACCTGCTTGTTCCTGTGTGATCCATTAACAGGCCTGTTACAGTATTTTTAGACTGCAAAAAAGACAAAGCTGCTGTTTAAAAATAAAAAAAAAGGCAGGTGGGCGTGGAATACTGTTTTGACTGAACATCATCTAAGGCCCAAGTCTTCTTGGACATATGAAATTGTCTTAGTTATTCAAATATCCTCTGTCTTGGTACTGAAATTTACACCTCCTGTCTTGTTTTATTGAATCTGACGGAGAATCAAAACCTGCTGGTTTTGATTTTGATGGTATAGCTGCTGCTGCAATCTGGAATGATTTTTTTGAGGGTGAAATTAACACGTATCAAAAAGCAAACCTGTGATAAATGAATTACAGCAAGATTTAATTGCAATTTCTTCCAGTCTCTTATCTTCAGTTAAGTCAATGTTAAAAAAGTTGTCAATTTTTTTCTGCTTGAATCTACCACCACGAGAATACAATCAGTACTACAAAATGAGAAGTATGCTCTAGAATGTAAGCCTTTAAGTTTCTGCTTTAACTACCGAGACAGGTAATGTATGATTTCACTGAGAACATTCTTGTCTCACATTCACAGATATGTGGGCAGGAGCCACTTCTAGGAGCCTGTGTCCTTCTACGTTGATCAGGTCACAGCTACAAAGAGCCTCAGGACTTAGCTATGCTCTGCTTTTTACCCCTACTTGTACATGATGCTCTTAGAAACAACAAATAACAAAATCGAACATAGATTTAAGGAGGCTGATTTAAATGACAGCAGAAACAAAAAAAGTACAGATCTGTTGAGTCCAGCACCTCCTTCAAATCATCTCAAATGTCAAAAAGCAGAAAGATTCTCAATCTGTCTTTCAGTGTTTCTGAGCTTCCGGCCTTTTGTGGCAAAAACATAGCCATGATTGTTTCCCTGGGCACGAAGTATTTCACTGTGCATGTCCTGCTGGCAGTTATCTTGTTCGCTCTTAAAAAGAGCAAAAAACCCACAGTACCACTTAATCAGTTTCAAGTTTTACATAGGGCATAGTAGAAAGGCCCTAGATAACAGAATGTAAACACAGCTGGAGTAGAAGAGCTTTATGCTCCAGAAGCCAGCCCCCCCAAAAATGAACAAAAAAATATAAGGATAACAGAGAATGAAAACAGAAAGCCAAAGTGTAAACACTGAACCAACGTTGCCGGCCAGGTCCTCTCCCTAGAGAGAGGGATTATGCAGTTTTGTACTGAAATATATATAGTGTGTTATGCACAGCTTTGTGTTTGTGAAAACACACGAGGTATATATATGCAAGTACATGACACATATTTGTGTTTGCTTCACAGCTAGTGAAGAAAGGTGTTTGATAGCATAAAATCCCAAAATAAGGAAAAACAATTCCTCAAAACAGCACATGTTGGAAACCCAAATAAGGCAGGACAGACAGAAAAAATTTCAGCATCAGCAAGTAATGACATGTCACAGACTAGGAGTTAAATTCTGGATCACGGGACACGTACCTCTTTGTGTTCATTGATGCCTTCATCATCCACTTGTTTGTGAGAGGATCAAATACTTCCATACTTCCTAAGTGTTCATTTCCATCATGTCCACCTACTGCATAGACTTTACCTGAAACATAAACACATCTTCTGATGCAGAGATAGCTTGACAACATTTCACTTTTCATTTCTGTAATATCCCTGCCTACCTGGAGACATAAAGCTCAAATAAAGGTTAAAATCTTCAAATCTTTTCAATATCAAGATTTGAGTAAGGATGGATTTTACATTTTTATATGCTGTATCCAACCAGAGATCTCTTCTAATGTGGGCTTTTACGCAGAGCATGAAATCTCTAGGCAAAAAGCCTTCCCATAACCTGAGTACTGCTGGTCAGATCAATTTGGGGCATTTTTATCAGTCTCTCCAGGTTTTCTACAGGGAAAAAAAGATCTCTCTTCTGCTGCAGCAACACAGGGGCTGCCATGTACAAGGAAAAGTTGCATCATGGGTGCTAAACTGCTCTGGATTGCACAGCCCTGGTTGCAGAAGATGGAGACACAAAAATAAAGGTAGGTCTGCTCTTGGAAATTATGGTCTTAGTGACTTGCCTGTATGGATTTTAAGCACGAAGGAAGTAAATTCTGAGTGAGTCTGCCATGCACGGCCATTTCTTTATAAATTAATTTTAAAAAATATTAAATCACTTATTAAGGTGTGAGGCTACATACAGTTCATAGAATCATGGAATGGTTTTGGATGACCTTTAAAGGTCATCTAGTCCAGTCCCCTGCACTGAGTAGGGACATCTTCAACTAGATCAGGTTGTTCAGAGCCATGTCCAACCTGACCTTGAAAGGTCCAGGGATGGGGCTTCTGTCACCTCTCTGAGCAACCTGTTCCAGTGTTTCATCACCCTCATTGTAAAAAATGTCTTCCATATGCCTAGTGTAAACCCACCCTCTTTTAGTTTAAAACCATTACCCCTTGTCCTATCACTACAGGCCCTCCGAACAAGTTTGTCGCCGTCTACTTATAAGCCCCCTTTAAGTATTGAAAGACCGCAGTAAGGTCTCTCTGAAGCCTTCTTCAGGCTGAACAACCCCATTTCACAGAAATGTCTTTTCAGTAAGCATGCCCTCAGACAGTTTCAGAATCAAAGTACCTTTCATGGGGAAGAAGCTTTACTAAAATGAAGAATATACAACAGTTAAGCCATTGCAAGACCTATTTCCTTAGTAAAAGTACCAATTCCAGCAAGAGGAGCAAACAAGTGCCTTTTGAATAGGGTCACTGACCTCCCACAGAGATTACACCCACGTGCCTTCTCCTGCTGTTCATTTCAGGGCCGAAGAACCAGTTGTTCTTACTGATAGAGTAGCATTCAATGCTGCGAAATGGGTCGCCTGATCCACCTCTACCACCGACACAGAAGAGCACACCTGACAAGACAAAACAGGTTTCCAGAAATCCAGCAGGAAGATGGGGGACAAAGCTGTATAGTAGAGTGAACTGAAAATTACATAGTTCGGGAGAAGTCATACTTCACTTCAAGGTGCACAGTCATTGCCCTGCATTATCGGATGCTGGATTTTGGCCTTTGCTTGGCATGCTGCTAAGGCAATTAACTATCTATGCTCTGGTAAAAACAATGTATATTTTAAATATGCTTTTTGTGATTTTGCTTAGGAAGATACACAGATTGTTACCACTAACAAGGTAAAAATTATCATTTGCAGTCTAATACTCATCACTGACTTCTGGTGCAGGTCAGCCAAACAGTTTAAAAGTTAGCTCAACCTTCTCACACCAAAATTCAGGTGTCCACTGTTTTTGGTATAGCTTTGAACATACTTCCTGGTCATAACATACTTAGCAGTTCTAGCTTTAATACAAGTAAATCGGAATAAATAAATAATGCTTTAAAGAAAGAAAATGACTGCTAAAGTTCTTCTAGGAAAACACAGCATGAGGGGTACACAATGGGTTTCCCAATTTTGCATGAAGTCATTAACAACAACCCTTTACACCAGGCTAGTAAACCCTGCACAGATGCGCCATCTCTTCTCCACACCACTCCCTACCGGATAATCAGACACACATTTAATTACCAGCAGTCTGCTTCCTTGGTGTTGTGCGAATGGAGTACTCAAAGTCTGGCACTGCCCTGCTGCTCAGGTGAAGGTGGTAGTTTCTTGCTTCATCCAGCAAATCCCTACATTTTAGATTCTGCTTGACAATCTCTTCCTTTGCCACAACACCCATAAGGAAACAAATGGGCAAGAGAGGCAGCCGTACCTGACAGAAATGAACACAGTTGGAGTAACCGGCTGAACTGACCAAGTCTCACCATTACAGTGACGCACGCGGAACAGAGGGCAGCTTCTGAGCCAGCTGGCAGCCCCACACTCCTCACTAAAAAGAGCAGCTTTCCGATTCGTTTCTTGTCTACAACAATATCGATACGAACAGTGATTCTTTCCAGTGACTAATGTTTGCTACAACTGCTCGCATTTAAGCAACCAGGGAGGAATGCCCCTTGGCTCCAGCTAAGCAGGGGAAGGAGAAGTGCTGCTGCCTGTACTGCCACTGTGCCTGCCCAGGGTGATGCAGGCAGCATCTGTGACTTTACCTGGGTAGCACATGTCAGCTTAGTTTGCCCATGGCTCTGCCAGCATAGGAAGGCTTTTGCTAGATTCGTTCATTTTCTTTGGGTGGCAAGTCAAAAAAGAAATGCTGCCAGCATGAACTAAGTGTCTGCTAAGGAGCTATTGCTAGTGCAGTAACACCTTTCTCTAGTGGGAACCTGACAGACAACATGATAAAAAAAGGTTGAGAGTTAATAGTTTCCTTCCCCAAATCCTTCATGTGGTTCCCCAGAAGAGTTCTTTATTTCAGTAAACATTTCATTTGTCCTTATGAGAGTAACAGTGAGGACTATGAAATACAATGAGGCACAAAGGTGGGACAGGTGGTAGCAGGGCAGAACTGCAGTAAGCCACCACCTGATGCCCTGGGATTTGCAGCCAACGCTATCAGGCAGCTCCCAGTTAGCTCAGCAGCACTGGTAGAGAAGTCTGGTTTCTCTGGGGCTTCTTAGAGCAGCAAGATGGTGCTGTTACATGGCTGACAAGTGTCCCTGTCTTCAAGCAAGCATTCCTACTAGTTCTTCCTTACCCACTTACTTTCAGTCCCACTTGTTCCTTTACTTTGTCCTGGCTTATTTTAGGCTGATGAAAAGCACCACCATAGCTCTGCTGACAGACTCGTGAGGTTAGAGATGCATTAAGAACTCGAGGCTGACAAATTCAGAACCTCATTATAACAGCAAAACCCATAAGGCTGCTTATGATGTGGATAAGAACTGTCACAAAGCCCAGTCATGTTTTCTGCTAGCAAGAACGTCCAAATCGACTGATAGCTCCATATGCTTGGGCAAGTAACCCACATTTACAGGAAAGGGTTTACTTTTACAGTGCTTCATTCTGTACTCTGGTTTCCATGGACAGAATAAACCTGTTAATTTCATCTGCTAGAGCAACAGGACAATAAAATTATTCTATTTTTAAAAAAAATTTCAATTTATATTGCCTGTAGATTTAATGATAGTGTACCAAGTAAGTTTTTTTGTACCAAAAGTCTCATGGTAGTATATAGGAGTCCAGGAAGGCTGGACATACTTGCAAAAGGAAAGTCTTAAAAGCACAGGAGCAGGCTGTCCCCGTGTGCTGAAAAACAAGTTGGTCGAGAAGGATATCAGCCTGGCTAAATACGGACATATGGCTAGACCTCAAGAACAAAAGGAGAGTCTATGACCTTTGGAAGAGGGGGCAGGTCTCTCACAAAGACTATATACATGAAGCCTTGAGCAACCTGGTCTAGTTAAGGGTATCCCTGCCTGTAGCAGAGAGGTTGGGTTAGATGATCTTAAGGTCCCTTCCAACCAAAGACATTCTGTGA